ACAGAAATTTGGCCAGGATTCCAAGGGTGTGTGTATGAGGGGCAGTGACTGATGGGGCCACTATGACATGTGGCCTAGAAAAATGCTTCTTTATATCCAAGACCGTCCTCGGGATGGGGAGGGTTAAAGCAGGGGCATCCCATCTAAAATTAAAGGGCATAATACACATTTTCAGGAGTTCATGAACTGATCCGGTAAGGAATATTTTATAGGTGGCTTAGGGAGTGTGGGGAGAAGAGGGTAGGGAGAGCAAAGGGAATCTTCCCTGACACCCTAGATCCTTTTGCATGAGATCAGCCTTACGAAAAAAGCAAGTTATTCTTGGACATCTCCCCTCACCCTAACTCCCATCCACACCCCGCCCCTTGCACACACAGTGATATCCAACTCTCAATTGCGAAGAATATGACTTAAGATTTCCATTGAGCCCATCATATTTCGGGTGCTGGAGAAGGGCAAGGGGTGGAAAGGCACACGAAGGGGGCGGTGAGTTGCTCATCCTCGTGACCCAGAATATCTCCCCCTCCCTGTAATGATGAGCTTGCTTTTCCAAAAGGGCTTTCCTTTGATTCCAGGAAGGGGCCAACCAATGAGAGAGGAGCATGTTAGATTATTTTGGGGAAGGGCTCGTGCCAGCAAGGTTCACTTTTAGTAGGCGCCAAGTGTCCCCAGCAACCAGTGTCTCCTGTACCAGCAGAAGCTCCAGAACTCTGCCCTACTCCTCTGCCTCTGCAGCATCTTGGCCCACTGAACAGCCATGAGAAGGCAACTCCGCTCCAGAAGGGCTCCGGCCTTTCCCTACGGTTATCGCTACGGACTTGTGAGTCTCGGGGAGCCGAATATTTTGCTGCCTTTTTAAATTGGTTGGGTTGGGTGCTGTGTACAGCTTGGATTAAGGTTGTCTTGTCTTGGGATAAAGAGGAATAAACGAAGTTTAGGAAAGCCCAGATTTGGGAAGAAAGTGACTCCCTGCATCCCAGGGCACCCTAAACTGCTGAATGGAAGGAGGAAGGCTCCTCTCTTTGTGGGGGAACAGAGATAAAGGAATGGGAAGACACCAAGGAATAAGCTTTATCTTAGGAGTCTAGAATATGAACAGACCTTTGGCAGATGGGAGTAGAGGTTTCCCTGCAAGACATTTGGCCAGGAGAAAAGGGAAAGAGAAGAGGAAGGGAAAGGCGCTGCCTGGCCAGCTGTTCAGTCCGTTTGGGTGGTGGCTTTTAGGAACCAGCTGCTCATTTTCTAAGGAAGAAATTCAAACTATAGCTAAAATTACAGGATCCTTGATAGGAACTAGAAGAAAACCTAGACATAATCTCCCCAGAATCCCTCGTTATGTTGAAGTAGCCTCCTTCTGAAGGTAACAGAATGCCAGACTGACTTGCAGGTTAGTGGGGACCCCAACATGAGAACGTGGATCTTGTTTGTAACTGGTGCTCTTTCCACTGTGTTTATGGTATACAACCTCTTGAAGCTCCAATCCACCATCGCCCATTTCATCACCTTGTCTGCCACCTCGCTTCATCAAACACACACATCCACACTCGTGCATACACTGACACATAACTTCTGTACCACTGTGTACTTCCAGGTTCCTTTACAAATGCATTTGGTCCAGACGTGTCTTTACATTTACTTTGCTCTAAACCATAAATGCATGTATGTATATACAACACTCTCAGGAGGGGTATTCTGAAACCCAAGAAGATTAGTAGATGAACCCCCCCCCAAAAAAAAGGAAAGCATAAACCGTTTTTCTTTGCATATGGCCACTTACATGCCTAAGGAATTAAGGGATAATTGTCAAGACTGAGCAGAAAACAAAAACAAACAACAACACAATTCTTTGAATCTCATGTCAACCACTAAGGGAATTTCTTAATACTGTGATGTGGAATCTTTATTTTAATACCTGCAGTTTGTTGCGTTTAATTCCAACTATTCGTCCAGAAGTTTCTATTTTAAGTATCACAGGGGATCTGGGTCTTTATAATATCTGATCAAGTTAAAATAAATCATTTGATGTAATTGTATGTGTAATTTTTTCCTTTTTAAGTTAACCAGCCATTTAGATGTTTGCATGATGTTACTCAATGCAAGATCCAAATTTATCCTTTGGGTCATACTGCTTGTTTGTATATTTGTTTATATATTTAGATTGCTCAAAATGGAGCTACCTTCTGTCCTTCAGGCTTCCCTTTTAGGGAAACATGAGGGCCCCAGAACACACCCACTACCATATCTGAGCATGCTCACACTCCCTATCACATGAGGGTGGTGCCACTTTAGGAAACTGACAGAAACAGAACCTTAGATGAACGTCCTCATCGCCAAAGCATTTCCTACTGGTGTGTGTTAAATAATTGCATGGAAGTGCATTTTTTCACAGGATTTCGTTGACAAGGAGCCTTCAGGAAAAGCCAGGCTTGCACATGTGACACTGCCCTATCCCTGGAAGCAGGGAAGAGGAAAAAGATATTTTGGGTTCCTGAAATAAAGCTCAGGTGGTAGGAATCTTCGAGGGAAAAATAAGCTCCAAGAAGATTAATTCTTCCTGGGAGGATAAGACTTTAATGACAGCCATTTTAATAAGATTATTGGGAGAGCACATATCTACAAATAAAATAAGGCCTTGGCCATGACCAGCTGCTTCCTCTGGAGAGCAGAGGTGGTAGGTAGGCAAGGCAACAAAAGGAAGCCGTTCCAGAAATATAAAGGGATTTGAAGCCTTTCCTGATGAAATGTCACATTGCAAATTCTGTGAGAATTTCGTGCATGGGTTTTTCTTGGGACCATGATGACTAGCCAATGTAGTACGTATGACTTCTGAGGTTAAGAGTGACAAACTCTGAGAACATTACTCCAGAGTCCAGGCAGTAGCACTGAGAGTATCCACTGGGTACCTTGCTGTGGGCTTCACGCTGTGAATAGATCACAAAATGTTAGGAAATATGGCCCTTCCACCTGTGCGTTCAAAGCCTGATTTGGGAGATAAACGTGAACATAAGTTCACACACGAGCGAGACATTTAAGATTGTACATCGATTCATTTAGTACTGAATGGCAGGCAAGGTTGATTTTCCTAACCCTTATACTGTGAGTCCAAGACAAAGTCAGAAATCCTTGATTATAAGCACCTACATTTCGGGAACACAGACTCTAAGACATCATCATGTTCATAAATCTGCTAAGCCACTTCTAGCCACTTGTGTTCAATGTGATGGAGGAGAAACCGTGCAGAGTATCAAGAGACACAAGTTCCGAGACTGTCAACTCTGTCATGGATTTGCTGTGTGGCTTTGGCCAGATCCTCTCCCCTCTCTGGAGCTCATTTGGACAATCATAATTTGGAAGCCCCCGTAAGTTCTGATATGGTATGTGATGTGGAGCTGTATGCTTGAACAAATTACAGAGCAATTCAAGGGTGCTGGTTATCAAGAGCTAGAGAGCTCTGGGAAGAGTAAGTGCAGAGGGCAGAGATTTGTCATTCTCTAACACTTTCACTGATCTGAACAATCCAGTGTGCTCAGCTCTCTGCTAAAGGCAGCATGGGTAGCCGAGTGCCCTCTAAGTGGCCTTTGAGGAATCGGGCAGGAAGGGGGCAGCACAGAGTCCATGGCCTCTAGCATTTGACACATCCAACCCCGACAGGTGCACGAGCCCTGACACTCTTCAAACTTGGACAGCACAGAGAAGGGAGGGTGGCCTGATTTTCTGCTCTTGCAGTAAGCC